TTTTCATAATACTCTGTTATGATCCTTTTTATTTCAGTTGGGTCTGTTGTAATGTCCCCCATTTCATTTCTTAGTTGGGTTATTTGTGTCCTCTCCCGTTTTTCTTTTGTCAGTGTGGCCAGTGGTTTGTCGATTTTGTTGATTCTTTCAAAGAACCAGCTTTTGGTTTTGTTGATTCTTTCTATTGTTTTTTCTATTCTCTATTTCATTTATTTCTGCTTTGATCTTTATTATTTCCTTCTGGTGACTGTTCTATTTGTTTGAATTTTGTAGTTAATGTTTTGATTTTGTCCCTTCCTTCTTCTTTGATGTGTGCATCTATTGCTATAAATTGTCCTCTGAGGACTGCCTTTGCTGTGTCCCAAAGGTTTTGGTATGATGTGTTTTCATTCTCGTTTTGTTCTAGGAATTTTTTGATTCCATCTCTGATTTCTTCTGTTACCCAGTGATTTGTAAGCAGGGTGTTATTCAGTTTCCATGTAATTGATTTTTTTCCTTGCTCTTTCTGTTGTTAATTTCTATGTTGATGGCATTGTGGTCAGAGAAGATACTTTGTATTATCTCATCGTTTTGGATCTTGTTGAGGATTGCTCTGTGGCCTAAGATGTGGTCTGTTCTGTAGAACATTCCATGTGCATTGAAAAAGACTGTGTACTTTGCAAGTGTAGGGTGGAGTGTTCTATATATGTCTTGAGGTCTAGTTGGCTCATTGTGCCCCTTAGGTCTTCTGCATCTTTGCTTAGTTTCTTTTTAGATGTTCTGTCCTTTACCAAGAGTGGTGTGTTGAAGTCTTCTACTATTATTGTGGAACTGTAGATTTCTCTTTTCACTGCTATTAGAGTTTATGTATTTTGGAGCCCTGTCACTGGGTGCATAGATGTTTATTATGGTTATGTCTTCATGATGGATCATGCACTTAATCATTATAAAGTGTCTTTCTTTGTCTCTTATGGTGGATTTTGTTTTAACGTCTATTTTATCTGAGATTAGTATTGCCACTCCTGCTCTTTTTTGGTAATTGTTTGCTTGATTTTTTTCTTTTTCCAAACCTTTGATTTTTAATAAATTTACATTTTTGCTTCTAAGGTTTGTCTCTTTTAGACAGCATAGTGATGGATCCTGTTTTTTCATCAATTCTGTCACTCTCCATCTCTTTATGGGTGCATTGAGGCCACTTAAATTCAGTGTAATTATGGATAGGTGTGAGTTT